AATTCAGTACAATTTGCTTTGACTTTGCATTGTGTTCCTTCTGCAATTTAAACATTGTAGTAAACGGAACATTTGTGGCTTTTACTAAATGCCACACAAGAAGACATTTTTTTTTTTTCCGGTAAAGCATGTTCAAAATAAATGAACTTCCTGTTATGATACATTTTATTCCCAACATGAACTCTTACCGGAGGCTGTGCCTCGGGAGATAATAGCTAGAGGACAATGTGCCCCAAGCCCTCCTGTGGCCACTCATGCTGTATTCAAGAATGACTAGTAAATGTGAGTGAGGGCATGTTGAAGGAAATCAGTTTGTGGGGTGAAACTAGCACAGACGACATAATTAATCAGAAACCCCTGAGGTGTGTTATTCTGCATTAGGAGAGGCAGAAAGAGCAATTACTCTATAAGTTTTTGGGTAAATGGCAGGGGGCAGTGATGGAAGAAGTAGATAGCTCTGTAAATGACTCCGCAACACGAAAGTGCTCGCTAGTCATGTACTATGAGAAACGTCAAATTTCATGTAAATACAGAAACAAACATCAGCGAGAAGCCTATTAGGATGCTCAGTTTACAATATTTTTGTCATTTATAGAACAATGCTAAGCACCTGCCAGGAAATAAAGTGACGTGTCTCTTTTACCCTCACAGCATTGTGGTGCTTTGTTTTGCATAGGTCTGTATTGTACATTATTTTTGATTCTCTTTCAATTTAGCCGTGCGGTATCTAACTTTTCAACCTGTGTTTATGTGTTTATTAGAGCCTAATAAATGATCAGAGGAACTTGGTTTGGGAAAGGGCAAACAGCAATGAAGCGGAACTGTCCAAAATAAATCAAAATCCTGATCTATGAAATACCTAGTCATAAAATAAAAATAAAAAAAGACAACAACACTATTTAGTAGATAACCCCAAATGAAAACATGCATGAATTTAATTTTGCATTTTTCATTGGATTATATCTAAAAACGGCTTACAGAAGCTGCAGATCTCTTGTCTGCAGTTTTTGCAGCCCCCCCCCCCCTTCTTACCCCGCCCAGACTTTCTGTGGCTGTCCAATCACAGACTTACCAATGCAGCTCAATGAGAAGTCTTTGGAAGGCAGGTGCTCTGGGCAATTGCAAGTGCTTTTCCTGAACACATTATGTGGAGGATGGATTGGAAAATTAAAATGTATGTGAACATTTGGTGAAACTGTGGTTTTAAAATGATTTTTTTTTACAATTGCGTTGGATTTTGCAGGTCCATGCAGGTCCATGCAGAGAAACAAGATTTAAAGGAAATATACTGGTGCTGTTAGAATGATTGTCTTGTTAATCTGCTAGAGCTATGGCATGCTTACAACGCTGAAAATTGTGGAAAATGAAGTCCAACCGAGAGTTAAGATTGGAAGCCCTGCTCTAGACTATCTGCTTATTGGATAATTAAAGGGACACTATAGTCACTTGAACAACTTTAGCTTAATGAATCAGTTTTGGTGTATAGAACATGCCCCTGCAGCCTCACTGCTCAATCCTCTGCCATTTAGTTAAAGTTAAATCCCTTTGTTTATGAACCCTAGTCACACCTCCCTGCATGTGACTTGCACAGCCTTCCATAAACACTTCCTGTAAAGAGAGCCCTATTTAGGCTTTCTTTATTGCAAGTTCTGTTTAATTGAGATTTTCTTATCCCCTGCTATGTTAATAGCTTGCTAGACCCTGCAAGAGCCTCCTGTATGTGCTTAAAGTTCAATTTAGAGATTGAGATACAATTATTTAAGGTAAATTACATCTGTTTGAAAGTGAAACCAGTTTTTTCATGCAGGCTCTGTCAATCATAGCCAGGGGAGGTGTGGCTAGGGCTGCATAAACAGAAACAAAGTGATTTAACTCCTAAATGACAGTGAATTGAGCAGTGAAATTGCAGGGGAATGATCTATACACTAAAACTGCTTTATTTAGCTAAAGTAATTTAGGTGACTATAGTGTTCCTTTAATTTCCCTGGTCACATTGTCACTATTAATCTATAACATTGCAATGTTCTTTCCACTAGAATAGTTAGTACAGTATATACTCGAGTATAAGTCTAGTTTTTCAGCACATTTTTTGTGCTTAAAAACACCCACTCGACTTATACTCGAGTCACTGTCTGTATTATGGCAACTTAGAGAGCCGCGGCCGTCAGAGCCGTGGCAACGATCCGCGCGGCAACCAGACCGCGAGACTTACAGTGGAGCTGACCGGAACGGAGGAGAAGGGAGCTGACAGGAGCTGCAGGAAATGTAAGTAAATGCTTCCTGCCGGCCCCCCCACTTCACAGCCCATGCCACTGGACCACCAGGGATTAAGATAGCCCCCCTCCCTGACCGGTTAACAAGCAGGGAGGGGGGACAAAAAAAATTAAAATAATTAAAAAAAAGAATTTAAAATAATAAAAATGCCCTCCCCCCACCCAGTTCACACACACTACACAAACATACACTCTTCATTATATACACACTCTGCATTATATACACAGAGTCTGTGTATATAATGTAGAGTGTGTGTTTGTATGAGTGTGTGTGTGTATATAATGCAGAATGTGTGTTTGTATGAGTGTGTGTGTATATATAATGCAGAGTGTGTGTTTGTATGAGTGTGTGTATATATAATGCAGAGTGTGTGCTTGTATGAGTGTGTGTGTGTGTATATAATTATAAAAATCACAGAATTTTATAGCCCCAAGTTTTACCCTCGACTTATCCACGAGGCATAGCATATTTCACAATTGTTGGTCACAAAACTGCACTCGACTTATACATGAGATCGACTTATACACGAGTATATACGGTAGTTAAAACAAAGTCTTATAAAATGTCCATGATTGTAAATATTAATATTTTGCTTGAAATAGTGTGGATTCAGTTGTGGTTAGACTCACTGGATAATGAGTGTCCAGGACCATTATATGTCGCTACTTAGGTAACATATTACCCTGTTGTCCTTTGAGATGGACACACTGGTTGATGAGATGGAATAATGGGGTTCTACGATCAAACGGAGGATATAACACTGTGATAAAATGAGTAAAATAACATTGTGAAGTTGTTTGCAATGCAGCGAGTTCTCCAATCCTCCCACGGCCTGTCTCCCGCCTCTCACCATCTGCAGTAGACATACAAGACAGGGAACACCGTACAGCAAGCTGAGAACACTGCCAGGTTCTACTGCAGGAAACACACTGTCATCACTGGTATAAATGGGAATTCCTCTCTGGATCTGACAACAACCTGTGTATATGGAGATTTAAAAACACACGGCCCATACTGACATTCCACATATCGACCTGCTTCGATAATACCAATAAAATAATTCTGTGTAACAGTCATCATTAAGTTTGTCATTTTAGCAAGTGGGGATGTTAGTTGCTGGTGAAATTGTTTGAAGCATATTGACATTTGACAATTCTTTGGAGAAAAGACTAAACATAAGAGAGGATTTGTGTATATTATTTTAGAACAAATATGACTCTTATGTGTCTAGTTACACTGTGTGACATTACTCAGATTGTTCTAAGTGGCATGAGGACAAGTCTATTTTACAACATTCTTGGTATATGAAGAACCACTGGAGAAGTCTTGAAAAATGGACTTAGTGGAATATTCAGTGAAGACCCTCTGGTGGAATGTTCAGAGGCAATCCTCTGGCTGAATCTTTATTTAAGCTTCGTTGGTAAAAAAATTTCCTGAGACGAGAGCAAAATATAAAAAGAAAATTAACGTATTGGTATTTTTACTAATTACTACAAACTTAAAATTTTAGTTTTTACGGCACAAACACACATGAATAGTTTAATGAAAGGAGTCATGGCTAACTAACTCTAGAATTTGTTCTTCAACACCATGCCTGCAAATTGCTCCCTTAATGCCTTGTTCAAAAGACTAATCACTTGATTCCAACATTCCTATATATGAGACTGTGAAATAAAAATCAGATTAAGATGCTCCTTAGCAAGGCCAGTCCAAAATAATGTGCTTCCAAGGTCCAAGAACAAGGCCATATATGCTCCCACAGAAGCTTACTTGCAGACACAAACACACATATACACACTGACACACACACAAATAAACCTTGCAGCTGCTGCCACATGTGTGATAGTACAACACTAAGCTCTATGGAGGATCCCACTAGTTCACAAACCCTTCATCAGGGCCGGACTGGAAATTAAAAGCAGCCCTGGAAAAAAAATATTTACCAGCCCCATAATGCGTCGGGCCAGCATAGTGTGCAGATACAGAGTTAGAACAGATAACTTAAAATTAAAAAGTACTTCAACGTAAAAAGCGCACTCATAGGCTTCAAAATAAACAAAAGTGCAGATTTATTTTAAGCAGACGTGCCTTTGCATGTAATCAATGTTTCAGTCCAGCTACCTTGACATATTAAGGAAAGTTTGCTAATTTGACTGAAATGGTGAATGTATGTAGGGCACAACTGTAAAAAATGTTTATTTTGAAGTCCTGTGGGTGTTCTCTTCACTTTAAATATGTTATTGTGCTGGAGTATGCACCTAGCAACAAGACTGGGCCAATATCTGCTCATTACATATGGTACATATTAATGACATTTCTCTGTGTATTATGTATATATAAATGTACATTAATATGTGTAAATATATATATAACTAATACACACATTAATATACATGTCATATACTAGTGACGGATCCAGAGCCTGAGCCCGGGAGGGGCACTTGTAGATTATTTAAAGAAATATTCCATGCACAATAACCACTACTCCTCTGTGTAGTGGTTGTGGTGCCAGGAGCGTCGGCACCCCCCCCCCCCCAGAGTAAGTAGTCAAACCGTTTAAGAACAGTTTGACAACTTACCTGGAGTCTGCTGGGATATGGGGCTGTAGTAGGGTATAGGAGCAGTGGGGCAATGTGTGTGAAAGGTTCAGTGTGTGGGTGGGCAGTGTGTGAATGTTTATGGTGTGTGTGTGTGTGGGGGCAGTGTGTGTATGGCAATGTGTGTATGGAAGGTATGTCTAGTATCTTAAAGAAAAACTGGCCAATACTTTTACATGATCCAGTTTTAAAAAAGACTCTTCCCAGCCATCCATCTCTTACAGCACACAGACCAACTAACCTCTATGATCAATTGGTCCACAGTCATCTTTCTTCTCCTACACCACCTACGAATTGGCTAACTGGTCTCAAGGGAACGTTTAAATGTGGCCATTGTAAGGCATGTCAATTTATTCTCCCTTCTAGGTCAACAGTATCTACTCAATCACACATTCGTATTGAGACCAATGCCCTTGTAAACTGTTCCACCACAAGACTCATCTATCTGATTACATGTAGTTGTGGAGTTCAATACATCGGAAAAACATTCTAACAATTTAGGCGTAGGATCTTACAACATGTTAATTCCATCAACAATACTGTCACCCCCACTCCAGTAGCAAGACACCTCTTAAATTTTCATGAAGGGAAGCCAGAGAACTTACGATTTCACGCTATTGAAAAATTGTTGCCCAATCCCAGAAAAGGCAATTTTAATAGATTTTTGCTGCAAAAATAATCTAAATGGATCTTTGCCTTTAAGACTTTGGCTCCTCGAGGATTAAATGAGGAATTTAATTATACCTCATTTATTCATGATTAATTGGCGATATTTGTACCTAGTTACATTACTAATGATACATATTAGGATTCTGTAGGATTTTATTTATTATTTTTTTTTATTTATTTATCATATTCCACAGTATCATTTGCTAGTATTTTATTATAAACTGGTCTTTGTTAGAGACTGTTATATATTATATTATATATTACTATGTCAGTAATATGTACACTTTTCACAACAACATGAATTTCAAACATTGTAAGGCAGTATCATTATAATGCTTTCAGTAATCTTTCATCATGTTTTACCTATTTATACTCTATTCATATCTACTGCTCACTGATATTGCCTGTCATATCATATTATTGACATTACTGTTTGCCCACTCGATAACCATTTATATACTGAAGAAGTGAACATGAGCTAATCATCTCTGTGACATTTTGTGATTTCACTGCTTTGCATTCCGTATTATTTTATTATTTTATTTATTTATCAGTTTTATGTTTCAAGACATTCCACTTTAATTCTCGTTACACTCATTTTTGATAATCGTTTTCTCCACGGAGACACATTAAATGGTTTGATTCCACGGAGATACCGTACTCCTACATACACCCCTCTACTTAGATCGGACCAATTAGGTGGCAGGGCGGGTTATTTAAATGTCTAGCTTTTTGCAGGGAGTTATTTTCCCCTGATGAGCCTTAGCATTAGGCGAAACGCGCGTTGGGTTATACATCGTGTTATATATTAGATCGACACTGTTTGGATATTGGATAGATTATTTTACATTATACTACTTGTTTGTACTATAGAATGTACAAGTTCATAGTCTGTGGTGAGAGTTTGATACATTATACTCTTCCCAAACTTATCACCAATATTGGCACTTCGGCGGCTGTATAGCCATGTGCATTTAATTTGGTGCAATAAGCACACTGACCAGGGGTTAGATAATTTTGACATATTCACATTATGCTACCTGTTTGCATTCTAGATGGTATATACCGTATTTTTGGCTCCATAAGACGCACCTCTCCATAAGACGCACCTAGTTTTTAGAGGAGGAAACCCTGAAAAAATATTCTGAACTGTTCCATAGTGTTTCTTACTATGGGACAGTTTGTTCAGAATATTTTATTTTTAAGGAATTTTTTGTTCTTTACCACCCACTCCCCTCTCCCATCCCATAATGATCTTTAACCCCCCTCCCCTGTCCCATAGTTATTTTAACTCCCCCTTTCCTCTGTCCCATAGTGATTGTTAACCCCTCTTCCCCTTGTCCAATAGTGTTCTCATCCCATAGTGTCCCCCCCGTCCCATAGTGCACTTTCCCTCCCATAGTGTCCCCCCTCACCTTGTCCCATAGTGTCCCACCCTCCCCTTGTCTCATAGTGTCCCCCTCCCCTTGTCTCATAGTGTCCCCCCTCCCCTTGTTCCATAGTGTCCCCCCTCCCCTTGTCCATGGTCCCCCCCCTTGTCCCATAGTCCCCCCACCCCTTGTCCCATGAGTGTCCCCTGTTACGGTTGCCTCCAGGCTGGCTGGAAGTTGGACCGTAGAAAAGGATGCTCCTAGCGCTCACCAAAGGACCATCAGCACCGTAGACACCATAACTACTGCGTAGCCACCATAAGTACTGCAGACTCCACGAACCACCGCTGCTGGGCTGGTATCTCGCCATCTGCTCTGTGCCCTGGACCCACGACCAGGCTCCAGGTTCAGTAGGTGAACCTCTTCCTTCTGCAGAGCGAAGCAGGATCAAGAACAAGAGCTCTTACAAGAGCTCAGTAGCTAAGGGAGTATGAAGAGCATAGCAATCCCTGTAGTGATTATAGCTGTCCCCTACAAACATGAGTCAAGGCTGCAAGTTAGAGGGTCAAGAAGATCTGATGTTTAATGGCACACACTCTGCTTTTATGAGATTCTGCCCATGCAAGGGAGACACCCACATAATTAGCAGTATAACCAATCGGAACAATATACATTCGGGGAAATTCCCATCCCTCAGATAATCACATAACATAATTAAAACAGAACAGTAAAAATACAGTTTTTATACATGTACTATAACTTCCAAACTACACATCCAATCTTCATAAAAATTACATATTTAGAATCAATCCATTCAGGGGAGCAACATATTAAAAACTGGCACAAATCAGACAAGGGGTTCAAAAGTTAGCAAAAGTATCTTTTGGGGCCTGGCTGGCAGCATGGTTTTCTGGCCCAAACCGGATTTACAGAGCCCTCTATCCTGAACAATGGGGAAAGTAATCCAATTATCTAGGGATAGAGGCAGACTCCATTAACCACATGTTAGCAAAAGACACAAAAATGCATAACTCTTATCATACTGAACAGAACCCCCACATTCAACCTATCCCCAGATGGCTTGGATCTGAGCGCTCAATATATCCAAACAGCGCTCAGATCCCACAAATACAGTCAAATCGCCATACACACTAGGTCCATAGTCATGGGGCAGAAGGCTGGCAATTAGGCTTCTCCATAACACAGGGAAGCAGGGCAATTTGTCAAATAAAATAACAGTTACAAATGGCAGTTTGTAACACCCCCCTCCCCTTGTTCCATAGTGTCCCCCCTCCCCTTGTTCCATAGTGTCCCCTCTCTTCTTGTCCCATAGTATCCCCCCTCTCCTTGTCCCATAGTGTCCCCCCTCTCCTTGTCCCATAGTGTCCCCCTCCCCTTGTTCCATAGTGTGTCCCCCTCTCCTTGTCCCATGGTGTCCCCCCCTCCCTTGTCCCATAGTGTCCCCCTCTCCTTGTCCATAGTGTGTCCCCTCCCTTGTCCCCGCAATGTCCCCTCCCCTTGTTCATAGTGTCCCCCCTCCCTTGTCCTTGGTGTCCCCCCCCTCTCCTTGTCCCATGGTGTCCCCCTCCCCTTGTTCCATGAGTGTCCTCCACTCTCCTTGTCCCCATAGTGTCCCTCCTGTCCCATAGTGTCCCCCCTCCCCTTGTCCCATGGTGTCCCTCCTCCTTGTTCCATGGTGTCCCTCCTCCCCCTTGTTCCATGGTGTCCCCCCCTCTCCTTGTCCCATAGTGTCCCCCCTCTCCTTGTCCCATAGATGTCCCCCTTTCCTTGTCCCATGAGTGTCCCCCTCCCCTTGTCCCATGGTGCCCCCTTTCCCTTGTCCCATGAGTGTCCCCCCTTTCCTTGTCCCATAGTGTCCCCCCTCTCCTTGTCCCATAGTGTCCCCCTCCCCTTGGAATCTTTATTCTATATGCCTTCCTCTGTCACTGTCTGTATATTTTCTACTACCTAGGCAACCTGTTCAAAAAACTGTTTGTAAACCCTCTCCTTATACTTTGACCTATTATTTAGATGCAGCTAGCATTTAGTGTCCCCCCCTCTCCTTGTCCCATAGTGTCCCCCCTCTCCTTGTCCCATAGTGTCTCCCCTCCCCTTGTTCCATAGTGTGTCCCCCTCTCCTTGTCCATGGTGTGTCCCCTCTCCTTGTCCCATGTGTCCCCTCCCCTTGTCCCATAGTGTCTCTCCCCTCCCTTGTCCCATAGTGTCCCCCCCCTCTCCTTGTCCCATAGTGTCTCCCCTCCCCTTGTTCCATAGTGTCTCCCCTCCCCTTGTTCCATAGTGTGTCCCCCTCTCCTTGTCCCATAATTACTTACCTGTCTTGTAGCGTGAGCCGGCTTCACAGCGCGCTCCGCGGTACAAGAACTTCAATTTCAGCTTCCGGTTTCCGGCGGGACTGAAAGGAAGTGTGCACACTGTGTGTGAACTTCCTTTCAGTCCCGCCGGAAACCGGAAGCTGAAATTGAAGTTCCTGTACCGCGGTGCGCGCTGTGAAGCCGGCTCACGCTACAAGACAGGTAAGTAAAGCTTCACATTCGCTCCATAAGACGCACAGACATTTCACCTCACTTTTGAGAGGAAAAAAAGTGCGTCTTATGGAGCGAAAAATACGGTAGTTCTTAGACTGTGGTGAGAAGTTGACACACTATTCCCCATAAAAAACTTCAAACAGGTAACGTTGTTCAGATCATTTGCTTTACCCTTTTTTTTTTCTTTTTTTTTTTCAAACTCTAATATCAACATTTTGACAGAGCCCCTGGACACTTACTGACACATTATTGGTGTTGGCACCTAACTCTGCTTATCTATTGCTAAATTACCGACATCAAGTTCATTCATGTCCAGCATCTCAGGAGTGCATATTTTGTGTACTCTGTACATACTTTATTTCTCTTTCTTTTTCCTTTATTATGTTTATGGGGGAGATTGATAAGACCAGGCATTTTATTAAGGGGTGCCCTCGAAGGCACAAGACTCAGGAATCTTTATTCTATATGCCTTCCTCTGTCACTGTCTGTATATTTTCTACTACCTAGGCAACCTGTTCAAAAAACTGTTTGTAAACCCTCTCTTTATACTTTGACCTATTATTTAGATGCAGCTAGCATTTAGGCAACTTGTGTGATTTTTAACCAGTTAACTGCTGCCTGTCAGCAGTCCTTCACAGGTGAGCTACTACTTTGTGCTCCACTGTGGTCAAGCATAAGTTAACATCATTCAGTGCAGGCAGCTGTTACACTAGAATATACTGCTAGGTATCTTGCAGAAAAAACTGAGCCAGGTCAGCAACCCCTTATTTTATACTTTACTGCTTGACAGCAACCTTTAATTTATTATCAAAATGCTGCTATGATCTAGGCAGCTTTTGTGATATTTAACTGGCTAATCACCGTCTGTCAGAAATCTGTCTTAGCTGAACCATTATCTTTGATCTTTCTGAGGTTAAGCACCATAGAACATTATCTATTATTGTATGTGGAGTTAACCCATGTCGTTAGTTGTACTATCATGTAGGGATTTACTTAT